AAAATCACCCAAAACATGCCGTAATATTGTCTTACTATAAAAATGCTCAAATTTGATGAGAAACGTAGAAAACAAATACTTTTGAATTATTTTTTAATTTTTATGAAATTTTTTCAACTTTCGACCAACATGACAGGCAAAATAAGGATTTTGCTGAAAAATTCCAAATGTATTTTTTTCTAATAAATTATAAAAATGCTCTAATTTGATGCGAAACATGTAGAAAAGATACAATTTCTCATTGTTTTTCAAAAGTTTTCACTATCTGACCAACATGACGTTTTTGGTAAAACCCTTAATTTGCTTCTCATTTTTGGTCATATGTTGAGAAATTATGATGAAAAAATGTTTTCCAACATTTTATCACTTTTGCATAATTTTTCATCAAATTGGCAAAATCTACTTTTAAAATTAAAAAGAAGGTTAGGGGCTGACTGTGCTTTAGAATGATTATATTCTGTTAAAAAAATTCTAAACACATTTACTTTTCTATTTAGACTATCGTTGCGATCAACAAAGACCCGGAGGCTCCCATTTTCCAGGTGGCTGACTACGGTTTGGTAGCTGATCTTTTCAAGGTGAGAGTTGAGGTTGATAACTGCTGCAGTTGTGACATTGACTGTGACATTTGTGAACAAGTGCAGTGAAGTGGTCTATCTGGACCTTTGCTTCCTCGCCAACTGTCACAATATAACATTTACTACCTTAGCAATTGGCACTAGATGTAAATATAAACTTAATTTAAACTGTTGCATTGGCTGTTTATATTGTATTATCTTAAAATATAAGCTGTTGTTACTAGTTCATATTTAGCTTGTGTTTGACATGCACTTGATTAATAGGTGTTCTATGCAGTAGCATGAATGTCTTAAAACATAGGATTTTATAGTCACAAGTCATTGATCAGTGATAACAGAAAGTTATTCTTACCTTCTTAGCGTGTTCTGCTAATAAATCCATACATTTATTTGAAGTAAGTAGAGGTAGAATTTACAGTTGGTTTCTTGCTGATCGTGTTCTGTTCAAAGATGATAATTTAATACCTAAAAAAAATCAGAATTATATTGATTTAGAAGTACAAGGCATTGATTACAGAGCATGACATTTATTCTGCACTTTTCCCCCTCTTTAGGCTGTTCCTGAGATGACTGAAGCTTTGAGTAAGTGATGAGAAACAGCTGTTACCCAGGACACTTCCCTGACGGTTACCACAGCATCTAAATAAAACTCTTGGACATTTGAATAATTCCTGTTTTTTGTAATTACCATAACTCCATATGAATCAGTGAATATTTAAGAACTTACCTCTGTGCCTTCTGTTGTGCACATGTAGTAATTTATACTTTATATTAGCATACAGTGAACTGGATCATGGGTGTTTTTATCACGTCTACAGATCTGTGACTAATGTACAGTAGTTGGCTGTAAGATCTTTCAGGTCTTTATACACATTCTTGAGATAGCTAATTGAAAATAAATGGACAAGTAGAAACAATCTTTCTCTTTTAGTCATGATTTTCCTTTTATTGATTTTTTTAATTTATTTATAATGCCCTCGTTACATGATGTTGGTAGAAAAGCTTGTTGACACTACAACAAACTTTACCATACTGAAGAGGCAAATCTTAATCGTCTCATGCCATATTTTTCCTGTAGCCAATATGTCCTCTTAATTAACTAAGACTTGATCAAACCCTCCCTGAAGTATTTACAAAGCTTTGAAATGAACCAAAAAGGCGGAACTTTAGACCTGAATCATTTCAGGTAGATTTTCTAAATCTTCTTTTGGTGTGTGAGGGACATGCTGCAGTTCTCAAAGTTGAAGTAAACTCTGACCCAGCTGGTTTTGGTCAGTTTTCACTCTTGGCACCAGGCTAGAAGACTTTGAGTCAAAAGATTTGATGCACTTTTACCCACTTAAAGAATTTCAATATAAATTTTAACACTGATAGAATAGAAAGACAAAAGATTAGAAAGTAGTGGAAACTGAGTTGCTGTACCCTGCGGCAGTCCAGCAAAGAGGACTGTTCTTGGAGACACGTGACTTACAAAACGGCTCACACACGTTCATTGACTCCATGCCATGAAGGTCGGGGGAACTGATGACTAGTCTGTTGTTCTACACTGATTCAGTCCAGCGTCTCCAATTTCTGCTATTGGAACAAATTTACATTAAAAAAAAAATCCAGATTTGTGTTTTTCACACGAAGCGTTGGCCTTAAAAGTTGGGCTTCAGCCCTGTTGCTGGTTTGTCTGGGTGAAATTGATCAAAACAAATGTTCTTTTGTCAAGTGTCATTTCCTGAAAGTTGGTTCCTGATATCAATTCTGCCTGCTTTCAATGTATTTGTGCTGAACTGACGAGTTTATTCGCTCAGCTCCATCAGTTCAAAGAGGATGGCAGTCCTGCAGTTTCTGTGCCGCTGTCTCCAAACAGCATTGGAGTAGGACAAAATCTGAAGACGCTCTGACAGTCTTATGCCTCAGACAGGCGGTTGACCGGAGCGTCTACTGGCTCCATCATCCGGTACTTCTCTTCTAGAAGGGGCTCGTTGCTCTGCAGGTGAATGAGAGGCTTAGAATGCAGCCCGACTCTGCTGTCCTGGTTCCTCTTGTTGTAGATGTTGACCCTGTGCTCCAGCTCGGGGCTGGTTTTGGTGGAGCCCGCAGGACTGGGCGGTTTAAGGTTGACGGGGTCCAAACCTTTCTGTGAGAGGCAGGACTCCTCGGACAGAGAGGAGAGCAGCTCCTGCACTACAGCACTGGGACTCCCTCGTGGCTGAGTGCCCAGGGCCAGAGGACTGCTGTAGGGTGGAGGGTAGCAGCGCTGGTCGCTGTAGTCCGTGGAGGTGGAGGCTTCTCTCACTGTGGAGCTGCAGTCTGTGGTGGAGCCCAGCGTATGACTGCTGATGCTGTGCTGGCGAGCACTGAAGCTGGTGCGGGACACTGTGGTGGTGGAGGCCTCACTGACCAAGCTGCCGGTCCTCTGCAAATGGCTGGACGGAGCTGCATCAGCACTGACCAGGGTGGAGGGGAGTTGGCTGGGGTTGTTTGGCAGGTGGACGTCTATGGCTGCAGTAGTGATGATGCGTGCCGGATCTGGGATGCCCATATCTATAAGAACAACGCATCAGATAGACATGCATAGTCAGGTTGCTTCGTTTTTAATTTTATATGGTGCAGGAGATCAGAGGGTTTTCACTTTATTCCAAAAATAGTTACACCGAGGGCAACTGGACGAAGTAGTAGACATAATATTACTCAAAACACAATTCCAAATTGATTGCTGATTTTCAGCAATCAATTCACATTAAACGCACTGTTGTCTGAATGTAGAGACAAAATATAAAAGATCAATGATATCAATGCTCACCACTGCTTGGTTCACTGTAGTACTGGCTGATGTAGTTGTTCATGTCATCCTGACCGTGGTGATCTGAAAAAACATCATGAAACACAGATAAGTGATCATGGATCAATGGGTTTTATTTATAAGAAAAAGCAACCAACAACCAACCAACAATTGATTTGTTTTTAAAACTTTACAACCAATGTTCTGTCTTGCATTGATATAAGATTGTATGCTTTGCTGCATACGTGCTGTTCAAGATGGTCACTCGTTGTTTGGCCTGAATGAACATAGAACGAACAGGAACTGTGTAACAAAGATCTGCCTGGAAACCCAGTGGCTCAGACACACGGCAGATTGAAGTGTGATTTATAGCTTTGATAAAGGAAAAGCCTCAGTGTTCGGAGGCCTCTAAGACCTACAGTATAAATTATGATCTGTCACCATCTGAAGGGTTTATAGTCCATCTAAATGTGACACCAAGATTTAGGTGTGGATCATGTGGGGGTCAGGTTCTCAGTGATTTGCATCACAGGAAAACTATGATTTCATAAAAGTTTGAGCCTGCAACTTTAGGTCAGGAGGCAGAGACCAAAAATAAACACGCCTAATAATTTGACCAGGGGAATTTAGTCTAGGGATAAAAGTGCATTTGAATCGGTTTTAGTACGCTGAGATTCTGGAAAAACAGTACTATTGTCTGTTACCTGTGGCGCCCCCTGGATCTCGAGCTTTCGCTGGATTGTGATGCTCGGGGGCTCCAGGTCCCATTCCATCCAACTCCTGGAAAGTGCTGCTTTGTTTACCCCACAGATGGTGGATCTGCATCGCTGCTTCACGTTCTGCCACCAGATCCAGGTCCTGCTGGGCCAAGTGGGCCCTCAGCTGCCTGATTTCAAACTGCAGGGTTCAAATGAATAAAAAAGGTTGTTAAACGTCTATAAAGATTAAAAGTAACATTCTATTAAGTGTTGGTTTGTCCTCTTCTTCTTCTTCTTCTTCTTTTTACTTTTTATGGCTTAATTTTAGCAATACTGTTGGACTAAACTTTAGCCAAATTTGAGCTAAAAGCTAAAATACTGCACCCACTGACAAATTAGGACAGATTAGTGACTATAAAATTTCAATTTGACCAAACCACCATTTTTATTTTGTCATTTACCTGCATCAAAACGGACTTTTATACAATACAAAAAATAACTAACTTAAATACACTTTCCTGTGTATGTCTGACGTCTACAGACATCTCTGGATCTTGTTTAAATTATTTTATCTTCTAAAAGAGGCATCTTTAATGTCCGAGGACATACAGTATTTCACTGTTTGTGTGTACAGTGCCCTCTGTTGGTACAGTTGAGATTTTCGAAATGAGGTATGAGAAGGATGTGAGAACGTACCGCCTGTTCCTGACAGATCTGAGTGAGACGGTCCAGCTGTTCGTCCCGCAACGCCTTGGCCTTTTCGTATTGTTGGATCTCCAGCTCCATCTCCACCTTCACTTGCAGCACGTAGGCTAGAACGGCAGGGTGCAGTAAAGAGTTAGTTCTCCTAGAAATATTTTACCAATCTGGTTTCAACTAAATATCATGAAGACATATTTTTAAACCCTGTAAATACATCCAGTAGTGTCATATAGCAGTACGCAGTATATAAAGGTGTACTCTGATACGTGACCTCTGGTATTAACTGACACGTATTTTTAAATGACAGGAGATACAAAATTGTTCAAAACAAAAATTGATATTATAACGCACAATGTGGAAACAAACATCTCATTCTGGTAAACAGTATCGTATATATGTTGTATATCGTATTTTCTCAGATAATCTTTGTTTAAATCGAAATATTTTGACTTCCGGTTTTATGTTTCCTCTGAGACTAAAGTAAAGGTTTTATTCTAGTCTCATCTAGCCTGTACCAGTCTAAATCCAGGTCGTGCAGAGGCGCTGTACCTTAGGCAATCAACCACCAGGGGGAGTAATAATGCCACAAAATGCCCTTTCAGTGAAAGCGAAACGTGCAACTAGGTTTAAAAATAAAAATGGAGCTGCAGCGGTGAGGGCTCCAGCACAGCATGTCCTACATACTGGACCTTTTTTTTCTCTCCCGAGGAACCGAGTTTGAGACTGACAATAACAAAAACCAGAGAGAGCAGAGTGTGGCATCTGTCACCGTGACCTGACAGTAAGGGACAGGACACAGGGGACGTGGGCGTCTCTCAGTCTCACCGTCAATAATCCTCTTCACTCTCCAGATGCGAAGCGTGATGATGAGACCAATGGCATCCCAGGGGCTGCTGGGACCGTTGGCTACGGTGGAGGCCACCATGGGGGCCAGAGAGAGGACGATGACAGCTCCATCAAATACCTGACAAACACACACACACACACACACACTGGAGGTTACTGTTGTGTCTGCAGCATCCCCAGTTGCCCCATCAAGGTATGACATTGAGGGAATGACACTGCAGTGAGAGTGAGGACTAATGGGTCCCACAGGAGCTTACCTCCACCTTGTTCTCGATGTAATCCCATATGCCCAACACCACAATCCTGAACACCGTCTGAGACAGAGAAAGAGGAGTGGGGGAGAGAGGGTTTGGAGAGGGAGGGGGGGTGAGAGATGGAGACAGAGAGGTCACAGTCAGGGAAAGGTTGAAGAGAAGAAGAAGAGCAGAACTTTAACATACCAGGTGATCGTGGCAGGACACAGAGGGGAGGTAACACAACTCCCAGCTGTAATTCAGATTCATTTGTTTTCATATTTGAAACACAACATTTTGTTCCTTCTGCTGACACATTAGAGGCTGCAGAGTCTCTCTCTTTCTGATTCCTTGTCTGCCATCATTCCTGAAAGCTCACTACTAATTCCAGACGGTCAAGGTGGTGGAAGTCTGTGTCACTGTGGCCCTTGGTTTTAAACCAGATTTTACTGATATTTCTATCATAGTCTCCAGAAAAGTTAGTGATGACTGATGACAGACTGTTAAGAGAAAATATTTGTTGGGAATACATGAACTGAAGCGAGTGCTCTGTCTGTACCAGCACTAACTGCAGCACTTAAAAATCTTACCTAACAAAATAATGTGCCTGTGTATTGCCTGATTTTTTTTTAAACTCCCACCATAATTTGAGCTGTGCACAAGCT